TACTCAACAACCTGCTTTTGCGCTTTTTTAGTTCTCCTAAAAGAAGAGCAAGAGAGACATGCTTTTTTCCGTTAGGATGATGTGTCTCAGAAACTGGCCACTTTAAAGGAATGCATGCGAAAAACTGAATTAGGAGGCTGAAATTATGACAAGGGTTAGGCCAATTTTTTCAGGATGAGCGTAATTACAGCTAAAAGGATGTACATTCGCATCATAAAATAAATAAGTCGGTTCAAAAGTGCTGAAAGTAAAATGCTGCAGGAAACACTTCAGCGATGGTGGTTTGCGAGACCACTTACTCATTCCCTTTCTGCGTAGTGGGAGTGTGTCAGGATTCGTTTTGGGCCTGTGCTTTCTTGCATGAGGAAGGTGCCAGTTGAAAAGCACGCTCCCTTTTTTACTGCAAATAGCCTGAATGAGCAATACAAGTGCGTATGCCAATCGTTTTCTTGAATTTTCTTTATGTTGCTTCAGGAAAGCTTGACGCAGTTACGTGGTCGGATAGTGAGCCGATTACGCAAATCCCGTACAGCGTGGTGTGCGCTCCGTTGAATTTGGCCTTGCTTTGTTTGGTGTTGATGTCGTTCGGTTCGCGCGGTGGCAATCCATGGTGGTTTGCAATGCGAGCACCTTTTTGTACATTTTTATTTGAAGCTTGCCCATGCTTAAAACAGTATGCCAACGTAAGCTATAAATTCCGCTCATCTTCACAGCGGCAGGACATTATGGAAAGTGTCGAGCGGCAAAGTCTGCATTCCGACCATTCGATCAAGTTCCCGTTACGCCCCGTTGTACCGATACGTTCGATTGAAAGTCCTGACTAGCACGGTGCTTTGCCGAATTTGTGGGTGAGCCGTGTAATTTTCGTTTGTAGCTGATGCATTCCCTGTTTGTACATGTTTAGCAGCAGCAGCGGCTCCCGAATTTGCGTGCAAATGCGCAGAACTGGTGCCGGGTTTGTGCAGTTATTATTCTTTAGTCTTGTCGGGGTCTGCTTGGATGTAGATGTAGCAGTAGCTAGTTTTGATTGGAATGAAATTCAGTGAAAAATTCAGTTAAAGTGTTCTTTGCTCTTGCCATACCTAATTGTTTTTCGGATGTTGATCTCCTGAATGTATCATATCGTGTGGGGATTGTTTTTTGTGTAAGTTGAATTTTAGTTCGTTTTTTGAATTTGGCGTAACTTGCATATTGTACTGATATAGGATCATATGTGTTGCATGCGTTCACTCCTTCCTATGGTTTTGATGGTGGTTAGAAAACAATCTGGCTGAAAAAAGAGGCGAA